ACCATGGCAGCTTTCGGCCACTTTGATTTTTTCACTCTAAGAATAAAACGGTTAGGACTCAAATATTTCCCCACATACAACAAACTCTAAGTCAAAGGAGTTACATGAAGAAAACCTTCAATTGGCAATATGCAGGCCTTATATAAGTAAGCACCAAACAACAGAGTTAAGGTGTATGCTCCATACATAACACCTTGAGAGAACCCCAGTGCTAGTCCCATGAGTTGTGACCTTCTCACCGATTTGCTCGTTGGACCTGATAAAGCTTTTTCAAAGGACTTAACCAACTGCTCTTGAGCAGAAAATGTTGTGACTGTCCTTGTGTTTGAAACTGCACCAGAGGCGATATTGCTAGCTTTGGCATAAGCTTCGTTGTCAAGTTTTGATCCTAAATTTATGATCAAGCTAAAGTAACTTGCACCAAGAGTCAAAGGAGTGAGAGCAGCAGCCAAAATAGTTAGCCTACACTCAAGGTAAAAACATAGACCAAGTCCCACCATACCTGAACTCAAACCCATTAACAAGACTGATAATTGATCAATGTGGACCGATCGAAAACTAACAGAATCAATTGAGAGCCGTGAGACCAGGACTGCTCTGGAGTTTTCTTCAGAATCAAACCAACCAGGTTCTTGTTTTAGCATGAAACGAAATAACAGATTTCTCACTCTCATTGTGATTTTTGTTCCAGCCAGCCACACAAGCCTTGCTGTCCTGTCATAAAGACTATGTTCCCAAAGCCAAGTCCAACAAGTACTAAACAAAGGGGTTCAACTTTTCTTTTAATCTTTGATGGGTCTACCAAAATATATTTCAAGGGCTACGCCGAGAATAAAAGGGAAAATAGACAAAATTGCACCTGCATGCATAACAAAGATTAATCCAAATAAAAGCATTGGAAGCTCTGGTCTCAGTAACAACCATATATCTGAAGGTAGAACTTTTCTTGGTTTTGGTTTTTGGACCTCTTTCTCCTCTATTTGGGTTTTCCCTTGGGTAGATTTTGATCTGGATTCATCATGAATTGATTTATCAGGCACCAAAAGCTGAGTGCCTTTTTTAGTTTCATTTTGTTTTGACAAAGGTTTTGTTACTCCATCAGCAGCAACCTCAACAAGGCTATAGTAGGCCCCAGATTTTTCCATGAGCTGGAGGTGATTGCCAATCTCAACAACAGAGCCAGAGTCAAGAACAACAATGGTATGAGAATTTCTTACTGTTGATAGCCTGTGAGCAATTACAATCGCTGTTCGGCCTGAGGAGATCTTGTCAATAGCCTGTTGGACTACAGACTCAGATTCAGGGTCTAAGGCAATGGTACGTTCATCCAAGAGAAGGATTCTGGGTTCTTTGATCATAGCTCGAGCCAATGCGATTCTTTGTTTCTGACCTCCTGAAAGAAGTGCTCCTCTGTCTCCAACCTGCAAAATGACATTGGAAATGAATAAGCATTAGACCGTGAGTACATAACCATTGATATAAACATTTACATGTGTGTAATTGAATGCACGTGTATAAACATTCTCCTGCCAGACAAACCCGGTACATGTTTTTCTCTCTGTCAGTCTGGATGATTGATTAGGTGAATTCTTGTTTGAATGTATGGTCCAAATTCACAGTTTGAAAACATAACATGCTAGATATCTCACAATAGAACGTTGCCATGCATATTCTAAACAATATTCCCGTCAGTATACTAAGGATCTCCCCATCAAGAGAACAGTGAGAATGTTTTTGTAACTGAACCTGAGTTTCATAGCCTTGTGGAAGGCCAGACATGAAGCTGTGAGCATTGGCAGCAATGCAGGCAGAAATTGCTTCCTTCTTGGTGGCATTCTCCTTTCCCATCAATACATTTTCTAATATGCTTGTGGCAAAGAGCACTGGCTCCTGGCCAACCATACCTATCTGATCTCTTAGCCACTTGACCTGCAGTGTCCTTAAATCATGACCATCTAATTTAATTATACCTGCAAAACAAACATTTGAAAACAAAATTAGAGCAGGAACTAAAGTTATTCCAACTTATCATAAATTGCTTTTTTATATTGTTAAACCATAAGCTTATGATACCTTGGTTAGGGTCATAGAACCTCTCTATAAGAGCAAAAATGGTGGACTTTCCACCTCCGCAAGAACCAACAAGTGCTAGTGTCTTTCAAGATGGAATAACCAGATTAAGAGAATGAAGAATTGGAGCATTAAGACGAGACGGGTATGAGAAAGAAATGCCTTTAAATTCAATCCTTCCTCGAGCCTTTGGCAGGTCCTGCCAACTGAGCTGTAGGGATCTATATCTGGAACTCTATCTGTAATTTCAAAAACCCGGCCTGCTGCTACCATGCCTTGTGAAAACTGAGCAAAGTATGACAGGGACAATGCCAAGCCCCTATGAAAATTTAGTCACATGTAAAATGTGTCAAGAAAATAGAAAAGGTCATGTACTATTAGTTTATATCTCTTTGCACAAAAGTTTCTGAAATTTGTTAACCACCACAAAGACCGCTTATTACCTTCCCCCAACATTGACACCAAAGAAACAAGAAATGGCAGCAACTCCAGTTATCTCTCCCCTTGCAACCAAAATGTTGGAAAAATGGCTCACATTAAGTATGCAAGTGAAGGAGGAAGCGACCGGTCGCTGGGTATTTGCGACCGGTCGTTTGAAGCAGATTCGAAGTCTGGAGGAGAAGCTGGAAGTCGCGAAAAGCGCTGTTTTCTTCCACGCGTTTTTCAAGAGGCCTTCACATGTATTGGTTCCCTACCTAATCCCTCGGGACTCTAAGGTGTGTTATGGGTTCTAGGAGGTCTAGCAAGGTGCTGGAAAAGCTGGAGCACCATTGAATGAGGATAGTTGACTTGTTTCAAAGAGTACCTACCCTATAGCTCTAGATAGGGTGGCTGAAGTTGCAGCTATCAATGCCTAGCCTTTGGTCTGCCCAAGTTGTGGTCCATGTTAGGTAACCAAGGGCAGAACGTGGGAGGAAAGAAGGAGTCTCTTCTGAAGTCCAAAGGCTTGTGTATTAAAGGGAAGAGGAAGCAAGACAGCAA